GAGAGAGAGAGAGAGAGAGAGAGAGAGAGAGAGAGAGAGAGAGAGAGAGAGAGAACCATGTGAAAGAGGGAGGTTGTGGATTGTTTGCAGTTACGCCCTCACGAGATAATTGGAGTGAGCGATCCGGCAATTGCTGCTTTATTCTTGATAAGAGCAAAAGTGAATGTATCGGTGGTCATAGTCCCGTTATTGCTCATGTGCTCTGATAGCAAGATGATAAAATTAATAAATAATTTCGGTCCTTATCAAGTGGTCGACAGGTGTGAGTTGACTTCACAAAAAAAAAAAAAAAAAAAAAAAAAGAAGCCTGCCTGGTAGGTAATGTATTACTGACTGCTATCGCAAAACTGCTCCCGGGTTCCCGCTCCCGAGGCAGAGCGAAAGAAAGTGAAAAAAAAATTTGTGAAAATCTCAGTCTCCCTCCTTTCCGTTATCTATGATTCTGTCTCGCTTCAACTCCATGGGTCCTCTGTGAAGCAAGTTCGTCAGCAGCAGCATATACATGCCTTATTCACAATAATAATTAGGGAAAGCTCAGTATCTCTGATTCTCTGCTCTGGGCTCGTCTATCTGTCCCCGGCTTTGAGACTTTGCATTCACACATCCACCTGACTCTATCTCTGGATAGATATTAAGCTCAGATTCGAACCCTGCCCGATTATCTGTGATCCGTCCTCATGACAGGACGGGCGATCTCCTCCACGTATGACAATCACCTGGCTCCAAGCTGAGCTAAATTCATCCTCTTTCCCCTGCGCTACACAGATGACAATCACTTGGTTCCAATCTGAGCTAAATGCATCCTCTTTCTCCTGCGCTACAAGGGTTTATCATCATAGGATCAACAGCCGGTGTCCTATTAAAAACGACAATAGTGTCAAGAATCTCTCTCTCTCTCTCTCTCTCTCTCTCTCTCTCGGCAACAATAAATACTAAAGGGGCGGGGTGACCGGACAACGACTGACTGCGTGGGCTTCCTCTCTCACAATGTGACTCACTGCCTCGCCATATCGGCTTGCTCCCACACATTCTGAGGGAAGTTGGGTGGGGGTGGGGGGGCGGAGGGAGCGGGCGGCCGCAGCGCCGTCAATGCATCGCTGACCKTCAGTGTTTTCCAGYGGAAGGTAAGCCATAAATAGCTCACCCCGTGAAAGAAGTAGAAAACGGCTTCTTCTTTCGCTAMGAAAGTTTAAGTAAAAAACGTGAAAATTTTAATGGCGGAGTGCAATTTGTGGAGGATGCCTCCTCATCGCTAGCACACTACACTAGCATGTTTGGCAACCTTCGCGCAGGGACACCACGGAGGCCAGGATCTTGGGGACATACAGGGAGAGGTTCCTCGGCTTGGAGGGGCAGAATTGAAAGTCGACGGAGGGTCGGAAATCCGGGCTGACGACGGCGATGTCGCCGCCTCTCCCTCGCGGAGCACTGTTTCCTCCTCCGGCGAGTGCGCTTCGGCAGAGCCGCACATCCATAACGCCGTACAGCGCCAGGGCGCCGCCATAGCCGGACGAGACGGAGTTCWTCTTGAACGTGCTGTCCCGGAAGAAGACCTTCCAGGTCGGATTCTCGAAGTAGGACATCATGTAGAAGGCCCCTCCGTCGTGCTTGGCGCTGTTGGAATCGAAGGTCACGCGATCGAAGACGTACGAGTCCTGGCCGCGGACCGCCCCTCGCCCGTTGATGCAAATGGCGCCGCCGTAGCCGTTGGGTGCGCGGTTCCGCCGGAAGACGGAGCGCGCCACTCTTCCCTGGCCGTTGGAGCAGGCGAAGATGGCACCGCCGCCGCTCTGGTCCCCCTGACTCAAGCAGACGTTGTCCTCGAACACGCAGTCCTGGATATCCCACTTGGCAGGGCCAAGCCACAGGCTCACCGCCGCACCCAAGCCGCCCGTGTTGTTGCGGAAGGCGCACCTCGTCGCCTTGAGGTCGCACTTCCCCGTCACGGCGCTTCCCTTGGCGTTCCGCAGAACCAGGTTGTCCAGCACCAGCGCGCACTCGGGCGCGCTGTTCAGCCCGTCGAAGATGGAGAACCTCCGCCCCCCGTCGATGGCGCACTTGCGCCCTGCGCACGCTCCCCTGACCGTCAGATTGCCCCAGAACTGACTGAGGGGCTCGCTCAGCACGATGTCCTCCCGCAGCACTAGCGTGGCCGGACGCTTCAGCGACTCTTCCATGGCCGTCCGCAGCCCCTGCTCGGCTATCGACTTCGTCGATGAACTTCCCCCTCGAAGATGGCTTACAGTAGTTGAAGGAGCAGCAGCAGAAGCTGCCGCTCGTCCGCCATAGCCGAGCAGCAGTGCAAACACCATCGCTGCTGCCACCAGGGCGCCGCAGCAGCTCTGTAACATCCTGAGCCCAGACATGCTTCCTCCTCCCCTCCTGGCCATGGCCACCACGCTTCCCACTCTTTTGCCTCTCCTGTCTCTCTCCCTCCTTCCCTGACTCTCTTCTGTGCGGAGCGTGCGTGCGAGCTTTCTAAGGAACACTGCCGCAGGTGCCAGCCGTAACAGCCAGTGCCTGCGATCAATCACAACCGTTGCAGTGCAGTCATCAAAGGCAGCGATTATGCGAATGAGAGAACGAAGGCAGGATAGACTTCCTGCCACTCAGCAAAGACGGCGACGAATGGGATGTGAATGAATGGAACGAGGGCAAGCAGACGAGACTTCCAGGGATGGAGCGCTGTGGAGGTCAGTGCAATCTCTTGCGGTTGCTCAGGCAACCAAGCCACGATCTTATATCTTATATACAAATCGCCGCCCGTCTGGTGTCGAAAGTTTGTTCCAGGCAAGACGAGCAACCGCTGACTTGAGAGTCAGGAGGCTTGCACGACGCCTACCTAACGAGAACCTGCGCTGCGCCCGTCGGGTCAACACAACGGGCATCGCCACACCGCTCTTGTGCAAAATGAGAATGAACTTCCCGCTAGAATATGGCCAGATGCACCCGCCACACTTTCGTCTTTGTCACATTTCGAGAGCGGTGTGGCGAGGCCCAAAGCATTGCAACGAGTCGGAGTACGACCACCACCCTTCTGAACTTTGCATGGGACAAGGATTGCTGCCGTAATCTTTCTCCCGGCCGACTGTGAACGAACAACGTCACCACGTGTCCCAACGGCTGAAGCAGTGACTTTTTTTTTTTTTTTTAGTTTTTATTATTATTATTTTTTTGCAAAAGCTTATTCGCATTATAACCCACTGAAAACGAGGGCGGGGACGTCACAATTCAACCCGGTCTTTTATCCTGGCAGCATCAGGCAGTTTAGCTTGGGAGGGAGCCAAATGCTCCACTGATTCACATATGCAAGGAGGACTGTAGCTATTCCTACTACAAAATATCAGCTTAAACACAAAGGAAGAAGAAGCAAGCCAAAGTTACCAAACACAACGTACCTAGCCTATTTTTATTTTTTGCCCCCGCAGGCGGAGTGGCGTCCTGTTTTATAGCCAAGCGG